GTGTATAAATCATTCTTGAAATAAATATTTAAAAAACAAAAACTTTAATGTTGTTATTGTTAAATTATAAAAGTAGAACCTACAACGTCTTCTGAATTATCATGGAGCCTTTATGGTTCTCCTTTCTCTCAAAATTTCCTGTTCTTGGAACTTGGGGTGTCTCTGTTTAATAAAAGGCTCATTCCCCTGAACTTCATGCTTCCATCAAGTTGTCTTGAATTTATGTTGAAGTCGAATACACGATATATCCATCTTTCTCCTATATATTTTGGTTCGTTTATTTTGAAATCCAATGATGGGTGAAACTGTACAAAATGTTTGACGAAATCGTTCTGCTCTGATGACTTGAAGTTGCAATAAAAACATTTGAAACGTGGCCCTAGAATGAAACAGTATATATAATTAATAGAAATACTTTACTTGGTCTTTCGTGTACGTTTATTTGAAGAACCTCAATATTTAATGGAATGTAATGAAGCTTTCCTCGTGATCGAAGCGGGTACTCGTGAAATCTGCTCCTGATTTCAGCGGGACCTCCTCATGTTTTCAGCGGGGCTTCCTCATAATTTCAGCGGGGCCACTGGAACACCTCAAATGGTGTATTTCACCCCCCACAGGAGATGTTATTGTAAACTAACTTATCAATACATACAATATTGATCCAATATTCATTATGAGGAATGCATATCGTAGTTCTTGTCTCAATTTTAACGACAAAAGTAATTTTGTTACAGTAAATTATGTAAACGTGCATATTTGCGCCAGTTTCTTCCATGACGATAAACATATTTATCGTTCATGTCATTGTTTGCGAAGACTATACCTGTTCTGAAAGTATACCTCAAGTTTCAAAGAACAGTAATGCGTATTCTTACCATTTTTGTCCATATTTCCAGGTGACACAAATAAAAAGGACTTTGCTCGTGATTTCAGCGGGAACTTGCTCGCGATTTCTAAATCATGGCGGGGGTTTAGATACTACCCGTGAATATTATAAGTTGTTATATGATGGGCATACTAGTAAAAAGTGGAACTCGTCCTCAATAGGGGATATATTATCGTTCTTACAATGTAAGCAAAGTCTCTGGTCAACTGGGGTGGATCTGTACAATGTATCTTCCAGTCTCCAGCATTAATGGTAGTGTGCCTGATCTTGCTTTTGCAAGCAATGATCTGAATGTTCTTGGTAAACAGTTCTTGACATAATCTTCTGTTCCAAATGATGTTTTAAATGCCCTATAAGTCCTTAGTTTTGGCATATTGGCGATCTTAAGTTTCCATTCTTCGATGTATCGTTGTAGTTCCGCTGTTTTAACAGAATCGATGATGAGTGAACTATCTCCAAAGCGTCTTGTTTCATATTCACGTAGCAAATTAGCAGATATAAATATTTCTCTTACATCCTTGCACCAACATTTGTGTCTTAAGATAGCATTTTCATAATCAAAGTCGAAAATTCATCTAGTTAGCCTATCACTAGGCATTTCTCTCAGTCTAATAAAGAGTCTCACCATCTCTAATCGGTGCCTTATGTTAGGTGGTATCCATCCCATATCACCGTAAATTGCTGGAAGGGGAGCGTATTTACCCAGGCCAAGAAATGTTCGCATTGCTCGATTTTGTACTAGCTGTGGTTTGCTAAATTCCTTATATCCCCAAACTCCTGATTCATAGTCCATGATTGGGCAATTGCACTGTCGTATATCTTAGTATATGTACTGAAGTTTAATCCATTCATGGAAAAATGTTTTCTTATATGTCCACCAAGTGCACGACCGCTGGATTCAGCTAATGTTGTTGCAGTTTCGGTGTAATCCAGTGTCTCGTTTAAGGTGCTATGGAAGTTAACAGGAAATGACAAGACAAAAAATGTCAAAACCATGCTATACCCCTACCCCCTGTTTGAAAATGAATAGATGGCGCCTCTTTAACTGCCCATAGCGACTTCGTTTACCACACATTTTTATTCCACCCAAGATGAATTTATTCTAGAGAGTGTCTGGAACAAAATGATACCAACAAACCTTTTTTCCAAGCCGAGTAACGAAATTTTAGCTGGGGACAGGATCACCAGGGACAATGAATCTCGGATCCAAGTACGTCATTAATGGTCGAAAATCAAAATATTGACAAATTTATAGCCTAAAAGGCCGAAAGATTATGCGGCAAATATTGAAACGGTGGTTGTCAACATATTGTAATAGCTTTGATCTCTTAGAATCCGTTGAATCCTAAGCGATTGGAGCTGTTTAGATCACTTAACGAATGATACGAAATGATGAGGATTTGGGTTTTTTCAAAGTTTATAATGGCGCCCAATGGGGGATTTAGCAAAATATCCCGAAAAATAAATCATTAAAAGGCCGAAGGATCTGTGGATGGATTTTGCTGTTTTATATATCAAAATGAACACTTCGTTGGGTCTAACAAGGATCCATTGAATCCTAAGAAAATAAATGATTTGCTAAAAAGTTATTAAGATTTTAAATTTTGATGAAGACTGCTCTCCATTAAAATCTTTGGACCATGAAATTTCGATTTACGCGCATGCGTTGTGACGTTATTTCCATTATTCTACGCTCGTATGTGTGTTTTTGCACGGTTTGGGCCTTTATGCTTGATGTATTGCTTTTCGTGGAGACAAGCGTCCGTCCAGAGTGATTCAAGTTCTTCATTCCACCAAGGCTTTGGCCGGAACTTAGATTTCCTAGTCGTGCTTGTTTTAATGTCTTTAAATGTTAATTTAGAGTCCATTTCTGTGTGTAAAATTGATACAAATTCTTCATAAATATTGTCAATTTCACTTTGGCACTTAAGAGATGTCTCCATGCGATCACAGACACGGGCAATTGACCGAGCAACACCTTCGCTAGCAAACATATCTATGGGAATTGTTCTGTCGTATTTCCTGTTAACAGGATCGTTATAAGTTTGCGTCTGAGTAGTTGCAAAATGCTGTTTTGGGCTCGATGTACATTTGTCGGCGTTATTATTTCAATTTCACACCAGCAGACAATAGAATGATCAAGTTTTGTATTGTCACGAATATTTGCGTCAATTTTGATGACTGAGATTGCCTTAACTCCACATTGTTTGATATAATCCAACATATAGTATGGTGTAATTATGTAATCAACAACTGATGATCCAATGGTTGATATATATGTATAATTGTCGTATTCATGAGTAACTCGACCATTGATAATGCACTGGCATCCATCTTTAAAACAGATAATCCCCGAATTTGTTGGATTTAATGCATGCTAGTTTGAATATTGCGTTTTATTTATACGTTTCAATCACATAAACATAAACATTAAAATAACATGCTGAACATAAACTTTATTGAAAATGTCTACATAAAAACTCATTCATTCTTCATGGATAAAGTTATAGTCCAATAAAGTTACGTTTTTAAAGCAAAGTAACGTGTTTTGAAAATGCCTACATAGAAATGCATTCATTCTTCGTAGAAAAAAGTTTAAGTCCAATAAAGTTGAGAAGCTTTCGTGCAAAACTTTTCGAACGACCCTAATATTAAGTTGGAATTCTACATTTTTTCGATCGCATGCTGCGATCTGAGTTGCGAAGAGCGCATGATAAGCCCTCCGGATTACATTATTATATACATCACGCGGTCCTAACTTCGACCGTTAATTTGAATTTTTGACCTACCGGATGTTTGAAAATCAAGGATTACGAGTCTCATACTGCACCGTTTTTCTTCAAACTTGTTCCATTCAAAGCATAACACAAATCCCTTTTTGATGGTACATTATTCTCTTCAACAGAGTCCCTAATTCCAGCGGCATTTTGGTCCCCAGCTGTAAGAAGACCTTCTAACAGCTGGGGACCGAAACGCTGCTAGGACGAGGGCGTCTTTTCAATAAAGTAATGCACTGACAGAAAGGCAATTTTGTTCTGCTTTTAATGGTATAAGTATGAAAAAACGGTGCAGTATGAGACTCGCAATCCTTGATTTTCAAGCACCTGGTAGGTCAAAAATTCAAATTAACGGTCGAAGTTAGGACCGCGCGATACATCCTCTCTACAGAAAACATTCGTAAACTGGTAAACAAACGTATATCCTATTTCACTGTTTCATTCAACATCCAGTTCGGAGAAAAAGCATAAGGAAGATGATGTCTCATTATTTTTATCCTGGCCAATAGGGGAGAACCAGGATGAAGAATTTCTGTCCGTAAAACACAAAGAGCTCAGCTTACAAAATGTAGAAAACTGCTAAAAATGAAAAATGGGACATGTAGAAAATGCTCCTAATAAATGAAAAATTATCTAAATGCCAAAAGATAAGACATTTTATTTATATTATAGAGAGCAATGGAATGATATAAGAATAAAGAGATGATGTTTGAGTCATGGGTTTCTGCTAAATGGTTGCTTCTTGGTTCAAAAGCCAGATCTCATTCATCATATTTGTTATTTAAAGGCACATTTCAAGCAATTACAAATGCTCTTTTTCAAATCTAATGTCAAAATGTTGATAATACGTACATATGAGAAATAGTGAATATCAATTATACACCATGTGAAAGCGAAATCATATGCAATTTTATAAGCATTTTATAATGCTTGCTTCAAAATAAGCTAACTTCCCCTTTAAAGATTAATAAACGTACATGTCCATGTAATTTAAACTCTTAAAATCTCACTTACCATAATTAGATCGGACTTATTTAACCCATGCGCACTGGCGGATCCAGAAGCTAACAAAGGGGGGGGGGGGGGACATTTCAAATAAGATTGTGCCCAAATTTTGAAAACTTAAGGCCCATTTTTGAATAATTTACCCAAGGAGGGGGGGGGGCATGGGATGTGTGCGGTTACTTTTATTTTATGTTTTGTGATAGACCCTCACTATGAAACTAAGTCTTATTGGGTATTCAAACATGAGCCTTTAAAGGGAACAAATAAACAATATGAAGTTACATTGTTTATTGTTTTTAATGATGTTATTATCAATGGTTTTTGGTACCCTAGATGCAACTTGACACGTTCTGCGGAACTCTGAACATATAAATATGAAGAACATTTAGAGAGTTTTCAATCAGCTGGAGATTAACAAAGAAACAAGACAATCAACAATTAAAGGTAACAATTATATAATACAGTTGTTTTACTTATTCAAGCTTTTTCTTGTGCTAGTGGTGTTTGCAGATCTCAGTTATATTTTTTACTTTTATTTTTTAATTTTTTTGTATTTAATAATAAGCGTTTAATAATTGATATTTAAACATTGCATTGTTTTTATTTCAGTTCTCAAATATGCATATATCTCTGTGCGTAGTTCTAGTTGGATGCGTGGCACTACAGTCAGATGCATGGTTGTTTAGTGGTAGTAGTGGCTCACGTAGTAGTAGTTCATCACGTGGAAGAACAAGCAGCACTTCAGGAATGACGCGTCTCTATAATTCTCGCGTCACCCACGTTGATAGGGTATCAAGGCCTCTTAGTGGCTTCTTGGGACGTGTGGGGGTACGTCACTCAGGGGTGGTGGTCACAACAGAAGATGGTGGTAGACATCTTGTACATAAAGGTATGTATTAACACTACAATTCAATGTTAATTGTTGTACAATGCGAACACATCTGAATTAAAAAGTGTGCGTTGCAAGGTTCTCAAATCCTCAATGTGTTCTTTTAATTTTTTTTCATTCATAGAATTTATTTTACAAATACATATAGTGCATTAACATTATACACTTGTAGTGGCTTTGCTGAAGGCATTATCAGCCACTTGTTCTTTTAATTAAAGGGAGTCACAAGACATAAACTTAGTATTGCTAGGTATTCATTTAAAAAGTTATCGGAATAATTTTCGTAAAAAGCACAAGGCAGGAGAGAAATCATTGAGTTTTCCTATGTTTACAGGAGCTGGATATGGTAGTCGAGGTGGCGACACTGTAGTAACAGATGCTGGTCATATGTCCAGTAGATGGCGCACTGATAGTGGTCATCCTGTGTCAAATGGACGCGTTGGTGATTTTGTCAAAGCTGGAGGCACTGATTATAGCGTTGCAACTGACAATTGCCACCACGCCTCTGGAAGGATGTCGGGTATTGAAAAAAGAAGTGCAGGCTGTTAGTTCAACCTGAGACCATCAAGTTAGACTCAGGTTCAACTTGACATTAAAACATGAAATTAAGGACTCAGACGTCACCTAGGAACACTTTATTCAGTTATATTAAGTAATCATATCTGTAACTGCTCAATTCAATAGTAATTAATGCAGGGCTTCCTGTTGGGACTTTTTAGAAGAATTTCAACATTTCATCATCACAAGGCTATAATAATAAATGAATGGGTCATTGGGCCATTAGATGTAATATTTTCAAATATTTCTTAAAAATAAACTTCTTTTTTTTAAAATACAATCTATCTGCGTAGTTTTCAATAACTTCATATTGGATCAGAAGTGTTTTACAAAAGAATTCCTCCAAGGGATAGATTGGTTTACCCATTGCCTGGGGGGGGGGTTATTTTGTCCAAGAAGCAAATTTAAGTAAGAAAATAAATTGTGCAAAACAATTCATATTTCTGAGTAAAATGTCATGCTCCAGGGTCTTCCAGAAATTAGATGATCACACCACTCTGTATAATCATAAAAATAAACAAAATCCATAATTTATAATTTCATATTTTTATAAGATATTTATTTTAGTTTCTAACTTTGTAGAAACATTGCAAATCTGACTATATTACTGTATAATTTACACATCTCCATTCTTGACTTATATTTCACGTTTTCCTCATGAAAACATTTTGGAACCCAATGACAAATGACTCCAGACTGATATGCCTAATGCAGGCTCCAGCACAAATTTACTAGACACTTCTCTTCTTATGTTAACTGCCCTGCCAATATTTTACAGAAATATATTTTCAGCCATTTTTAAAACTAAAACTGGAAATGAAGTTCAAATGTTATAATGTACCTCATGAAGCATAGGTTTGCCTCAACTTGTAATTTTGACCTCACCTAACTTTAAGATACTGGCTTTGCCTCTTTATGTCCCATACTCAAGAAGCTCAAAGTTACCTCAGTATATTGACATTTTATATCTGAATTGAATTTTAGAGCTGCCTTTATATTATGTACTTAAGTTCATAAACGCGCAACTCACTCAATTCTGGGCTACTAATACTGGACATCTCATAAACTAGAACTCATTTTAAATGTATAATTTAAAGGCTTCTGTTTTCATAAAATACTGTCAGCAGCTTCGCTTCTGTTTGACACAATGACCCTTTGGTCTAAATGATTCCAATGACAATGTCCTTTAAGGCCTATAAGACCCAATTGCGAATAATAAATACTATTATGACATGTCACATATTTGATACTTTAAATTATTTCATTTCTGTCTACGTTTTTTCTATAAGATTTAAATATCTGGTAATCTACATAGGAATTATAACAATATTTTCAGAATTTTTAAAATTCCATATTTCATAAACATTAAATTGCATACTTTTTACAATATAAATACCATCAGATGGATTTCAGTTCACAATAACATAAACCAGTTCACAATAAAATAACTAGTAGGTTTACAATATATAGAAAACATGTTTACAATATGTACAAACTAGTTTACAATAACATAAAGAAGTCTGCCATATTCTAAACAAGTTTACAATAAAACACTCCAGTTTACAATAGTATATAAAAACAGATTCTATATTCATTTCTACGATTCAAAATGTTACCAAATAAATAAGGTAAATGAACTGCATCAAATTTATTTTTTACATTAATAATTCTGTCTCCAAAGTTTTCCATTAGTCCATTTTCAGATTAATTATCTGTTTAGCGGATATCATTTTTGAAAAAAATACATGAGCCAGTCTTTTTTTATTTTACTTTAAATTGTGAAAAGTAATGTTAAAGTAAAAACAATATTCTCGAAAATCTGAGGGATCAGCGAGGTTTTCAAGGGTACCACTAAATACACAATTACATTGTTTTGGCCTTAGATGAGATCAGTCGACAAGTTAACTTTTCTGTTTCAGAACAATATTAATTTCAAAAGGACCATATCAATATAATGATTTTAAGGAGACAAAATATGACGTTAAAGGATTCAGTTCTCATGCACAGTTCAAATATACCAAATGAGTCCCAGCCAATCAGATTTGAGTATTTAAGTGCTTTATTACACAGACAATTTCTAACAGCAGTGCATTATTACGAACTGTTGCATGGTTTCACATTTCAACGATTTTAGAATTCGCTCTGTTTTTGCTGAAAAGAAGTATATTTGAATTGCGGGATAGGTCTATATAAGAAGTATAATTATGGTCAAATTATGGTCCTACTCTCCATTAATTTATATGGTGACCTCTTTCCCTTATTATCTTATACACAATCAGGGTCAGTAAGGGCCGTTAAGAAGGGGGACCATAATCCCCGGGGGACCATAATTTCTTTCACACCGGGAATGCACCCCCATGCTTTATCTATATGGGTAGGTACCCATGGCTTTAAATCTTCAATATAGAGTGTATTCAATTCTCTTTAGATATATCTAATATCTGGTTGATTATATTACTGAAATGTATACTGTAAACTGGTTGAATTTGGCATCCATTTTAATTTAGCAATTCATCAATTTTTCTGAAAGCTCGCCAATCTAATCCTCAGTCATGTCAATAACTGCCTTATAATATATGCTATGATATTTCATAATTTCAAGGGTATTCACAAAATTCACCAAATCAAATGTTGAAAACATCCACAAACTGGTGAAGGTGCCAAATTAAAAAAGCGCCAAAATAAACCAGTTTACAGTACGTGTCTGCTTTAACATAACGCCTATTTATCTTATTCATTGTAAATTTTTCTGACTCAGTTCGATTTTGTATTCTAGAATGTCAAATATGGAACGTTGTATTGTATGTATTGTCAATTTAACAGCATCACAAATTTGGCAATGTGATATTACTTGTATCAAACAACCTAATGAAATAACTTATAAAATCTTTAATTTTACAATAAATGTTTTACACACAAATAAAAACAAATAACAGCAATTCCAGTTTAGTTTTCAAGATTTCAAAATTACTAAATATAATCTATAGTGCCCTCTTTTGGAAACAATATGTGCCACTATTACGAGAAACACTTGTTTCAATACACTGAATCAACTTGGGGACAATTTCTCTAAATAAATCAAGAAATTTATTGTGCATAAATATGCTAAAAGTTGTGTCATAAACAATATGAAAATCAAACCAATCAAATTGAGGATGAGTCTCATTTTTTCATAATTTGTAATTACCATAAAACACAAAGGAAAGCTTTTAAACCATATATAAAAACTACTGACTTTTAGAGATCCATGATATGCATTTATAAATAACTGAAAACATTGTTTTATATTGTCATGGCAACATCATGTTGGTTTGTTTGATTGCTATAGAAATCACAGTATTATGCATTACAATTACATGATATATCTTAAGACTCCATGGTGTAACGAATAAGAGGACTTCTATCATACCAGTGTCTATCGTAACCTAGGGCACCATGTGATTTCAAATTATCATGTACATTAACACCAAATTTTATCCCCAAATTATTCAAATGTTTTAAATGTCTAGGATTAACCTTCGAGGTGATATGTCATGTGATCTCAGGGCATCTTGGGATTCCTATGGCTCCTTTGCTTCATCGAGGTTGAACATCCAGACCATTTTCTTTCAGCTCACGTCTATCTTTATCCCTTGGGATAACCAAACCATTGGGACTTGACGATTTTGACTTTGTCAATGGCGAGTCAGTTTTGTGATGAGGATTGTGATTGGTTGATGCACTTGGAATGAGAGGAGGAGGTGCTCCCGCTGCACTTGAGGGAGAATTAGTTTTACTGTTTCCATTATGATTTAATACAGGACTAGTGGAACGTTGATACTGTATGCTCCCTGCATGAGGGTGCAAAAAGCTGGGCTCAGCGGGGCGTAATGGAGGGATTTTTGATCTGTCATACTCTGGGTGAGTGTCTTGAAGGTAGGATGCGGCACGCTCAGTATCGCGTCTCTGGTGTTCGTACATTCGTTGTCGTAACACTATATCCTGCTCTCTCATTCTCTGTTCATCAAGCATTGATGTTATTGAGTGAGACGGATGTGGTGGGTTTGGAAATCTATGTAATAACCTCTCCCTTTCACGCTCCATCTCTTTTTGAACCTCCATTTGGTGACGAGACATGTCAAATATACGTGGATCAAGACTTGCCCGTGTCAATTCAGAAGCACGTGGGTCAAACGGATTCCATAAATTAGGGTGGGGAAATCTCTCCAGAGAGGGTGCCCCATAGGAGCCTAACAGTCTATGTCTGTCTTGTAGGTATGAAAGGGCAGTAGGGGCTAGATTGGAATGTGAGTGCAGCATCTCAGCGCGCTTTTGCTCTCGTTCAGCTGCCAATAATAAATCTTGTCTTTTACTAGAATCATTATCACCAATAATAAGTACATCTTTACGGTCCTCCTTCAACCGTGATTCGCCATCAAATGCACTGTTACTACGACTGTTTGATTCCCTGCGTTCCATTGGTCCATTGCGCACTATAGGAGACCGAGACCTAGAGCGTAGTTCTGTATTATGACGTAGGTCTGGTCTATCAGTGTCTGTGCTACTGCGATGACTGTGTGAACTTGGAGAACTCCTATGTGATGATCTGTTTTCTCTCTCCCTGAAACATTCACAAATACATCTTAATAACAGGACAAAATGTTTTCAACGGTGGCAATTTCAAATATTACCCTATGTTACATAGCTGAACACCTGTCACAAAGACTATGGCAATATGTTGGCTATACTTTGGTTATTGCTATAGCTTCCTGTTGGAGACATAATATATTGCAACTAAACTTGCCAAGTTCAAAATCTTTAGAAAAGGCTGTTCAAGTGGCTGTTTTTACATGTTTTGCATTTAGATAGGTCAAGACATTAGCAAGTAGTGTGTAGATGGGAAAGAAGCACAAAAACGTTTAATTCAGACCCACATACATGTTTTGCATGAAAATGCGACCAAACAAATGGGAGACAGCACAAAAACAAGTGGACATATATTTGGTTGCGTAAACTCTTACCTCTCCCTATCTGCACTACGCCTTTCCTTGTCAGCATTTTCCCGATCCTTTTCTGCTTCTGACTTTGGCCAAGCTGGAGGTGTTGGGAAGGAGGGAGGGGTCCTATGTAGGCGGTTCCATTCATGCGGAGAACTTAACCCAGGTGCGTTGGTCATGTCTCTTGCTCCAAATAGGCTGCCATTTCCTGTGTTGGAGAAATCAATAAAAATTTTATAAACATATATTGCCATAGTTTTTTTTATTTTGTACACATAGCTTTGTGAATGTGATTTCATTTTTGCAAACATTTTTACATTACATGATTTAGTTTCTCAGAATTTAGCAACAATTCTTAATGATTAAGTTTTGCAATATTTCAATTTATTATGTAAATCCTTTTCCAACTGAATTAATCCATTAATCATAAAAATTAATCATCAATCAGTGAAAAGCTTTGTGTCATAACTGAGACTTGTTTATATTTTAAAACTAGTTTATGAAAAAGATTTGGGCAATGTTGCCAACACTAAATATTGCATTTAGACTAGACTAACCTAGTCCCCCAAAGTTTCCCAGACCAGGTGCCCCGAGCCCCCCATAAGGGGAGGGGCGGGGAAATGGTGGATGCAACCCAAGAGGGGCTTGGGCAAACAGACTTCCAGGAGTGCCACCTATATCTAGTGGACTGCGACTGTGGGGCCCTGAAACATAGAGAAATATGTTACAAGCTAGAAGATTCAACAAAAATACACAAACATTAAACAAGCTTTTTTAAAAGATGAGAAATGAGCATTTTAAGACTAATTTCCACCAATGAATATAGATGGCAACTGAGTCATAAATTATAAGACTCCTGAACTTAATATTCACAAAATACTCTAGATTCCAATCAAAAATGCACAATATCCCAGATGCGAGTAGAAATAATCTTGATAAACGTCATTAAAAATTCTCAATTCAGTCAAACTGATGTCATATTTGGAATCTACATGTAAAATTATATTTATAAATGTGGTTTTGAAACGAATTTATCAACTTTGAAAATCTAATTTTCTTTGAAAATGTGACTTCTAGGTCGGGGAGATTCCCCATAGAGCCCATGTTGTAAAACCACAAAAAGTGAAATATCTTTTCTTTTGTTGGGCAGATAATATTCTCTTTTACTGGACATATTTTAATTTGTATAGCATAAAGATACATAAAGGTAATATGAAAAGTGAACCACTAAAACTGATGCATATTCTAATTTAAGGGAATTTTGTAATACCCTGCCATGTTAATTCCCCCGAATCAGCCACCTGGTGGCGAAACTGGTAACTACCTACTCGCATCTGAGTAATTAGATATGGAAGATTCAAATAAAGAAAGAGATGTAATTCATTCAGTTGCATTAAGCATGGTATGACACATATATGATCCCAGCTGATTGATATTATTCATTATTAATAAATTAATCACGATAACTGATGAAAAAAAATTAGTACCGTGGGTACTGGGCTCACATGGTGACAGAAAAAAACAGATATAATTTTTTGCTGATTTTTTGTTACAAAATTATTTCAAGCCATCTGTCTCTCAGTCAATTAAAATGAAAAAAAAACGGATATAATTTTTTGCCAATAATTTGTAACAAAATTATTTCATACAACTACTCTTTACAGTGACATGGCTTTTTGCAATGCAAGACACCTGAAATTATTTGTAAAGCTAGGAAATGGGCCAAAATTGAATTTCGCGAGACAAAAATGGCGACCATTTTGAAATCAGGCAAGCTTTTCAACCAGGAGTCATAAGGGAGTTTTTTGTATTGATGTTGAACAAAAATAACTTGAAACTGGAATCCTATCGACAGAGGTTTTAAGCAAATGGTCCAAAAGAGGATTTCGCGAGACAGATGGACAAATCAATGTTAACTAAAATGGCTGAAAATAAAAAAAACGGATATAATATTTTGCCGATTTTTTGTAACAAAATTATTTCATACAACTACCTTTTACAGTGACATGGCTTTTTACAATGCAGGACAGCTGAAATTATTTGTAAAGCTAGGAAATGGGCAAAAAGTGAATTTCGCGAAACAAGAATGGCAACCATTTTGAAAATAGGCGAGCTTTTGAACCAAGAGTCATAGGAGAGTTTTTTGTATTGATGTTGAACAAAATTAACTTAAAATCGGAATCCTATCGACAGAGAGTTTAAGGTAAATGGTCCAAAAGTGGATTTTGCGAGACAGATGGACAAATCAATGTTAACTAAAATGGCTGAAAATAAATAAATGGATATAATTTTTCGCTGATTTTTCGTAACAAAATTATTTCATACATCTACTCTTTACATTGACATGGATTTTTACAATGTAGGACACTTGAAATTATTTGTAAAGCTAGGAAATGGGTCAAAAGTGAATTTCGCGAGACAAAAATGGCGGCCATTTTGAAAATAGGCGAGCTTTTGAACCAGGAGTCATAGGGGAGTTTTCTGAATTGATGTTGAACAGAAATAACTTAAAACAGGAATCCTATCGACAGAGGTTTTAAAACGTGCCACAGAAAGTGGATTTCGCGAGTCAGATAGACAAATCAATGTTAACTAAAATGGCTGGAAATAAAAAAATGGATACAATTTTTCGCTGATTTTTTGTAACAAAATTATTTCATATATCTAATCTTTACATTGACATGGATTTTTACAATGTAGGACACCTGAAATTATTTGTAAAGCTAGGAAATGGGCCAAAAGTGAATTTCGCGAGACAAAAGTGACAGCCATTTTGAAAATAGACGAGCTTTTGAACCAGGAGTCATAGGGGGGTTTTCTGTATTGATGTTGAACAGAAATAACTTAAAACAGGAATCCTATCAACAGAGGTTAGCTAGGAAATGGGCTAAAAGTGAATTTCGCGAGGCAAAAGTGACGGCCATTTTGAAAATAGGCGAGCTTTTGAACCAGGAGTCATAGGGGGGTTTTCTGTATTGATGTTGAACAGAAATAACTTAAAACAGGAATCCTATCGACAGAGGTTTTAAAACGTGCCACTATTGTTGACGGACAGACAGACGGACGGACAGACAGACGGACAAGTGAGTAATTGCAGTGCTGATATAACATTTTCAGGGCTACGCACCAAAGTTAACAATCAGTCTCCCCTGTTTTTAGGGGATGAAGAAGTTCCCAAATGTATAATGCATAAACACCTCGGATTAGTCATGGACAGTAAACTAAATTTCAATGCACACATCGACCAATTAATTGTAAAGATTAACAACTTAATCAGACCATTAAAAGCTCTATGCAAAAAATTATCAGCCAAGCATCTTGAGACAATTTATAATGCTTACTTTATACCTCACTATGACTATTTTGACATAATTTACAACAAAGCTTCCTTAACCAAACTCCAAGCTCTAGATAAGTTACATTACAGAGCAGCCTGTTTGATATCTGGTGCAATACATGGATCAAGTACTGACAAGGTATTTGCATCCCTAAATTGGAAATCTCTTGCATCTAGAAGAGAAGAACATTTGAAAATATTTATTTTTAAAGCACGGTTTAATTGTTTTCCACCTTTCATATGTGATTTAGTTCGCTCCTATGAAATCACTCATACTAGAAACTTAAGATCCCAGCCAGACTATCGGATTCCAAACCAGATTAGTGTGTCTAGTGAGAAGTCCACATTATTTAAATCCATGACCCTATGGAATAAACTTCCAAATACATCCAGAGTTGGTCAACCTATTTCAAGATTTAAAAAATCAGTAAGAGAGTGCATGTGCCTGGTCTCTGTATCAACTTCGAAAATGAATATTTTTATGCCAAGACATATTGAGATAGTTTTTAATAGGCTTAGAGCTGGCCTCCTCTTGAATAGCCATCTATATTCTCACAACTTTGTCTCAGTAACTGATCCTAAATGTCCATGTGGTTATAGGTTTCAAACTACAGAGCATTTTCTGGTTAAATGTCCACTGCTTGTGAATGAAAGAGATGTTTTACTTGCATGGCTAACAGACTTAAATCTTTTAAGTGAATTTGAAAACTTTTCAAACCAAAATAAAACTGATTTTCTCTTGTATGGTGACAATTCTTTAAGTGTTGAAGTCAATGAAAAATTAATTGAGATTTCAGCTCACTTCACTAGCCAAGCTTTTAAAGCTCTTGATCAAGATCTTTTTAATAACTAGGGTAAAGAATTGAGGTAGAGGGTGGGGCAAGCAGAGTAAACACAGTAATACATTCCATATTATTGCAAATGTTCAGTGTATTTTCCTAATCAATCAATATTTTTTGTCAAAATAGTTACAATTGCCGCTAATGTTATCTAATAACCTTGGCAATTTTTCTTATGTACACATTTGATGATTGATCGAAATAAACTGGAATATTAAAAAAAAAAATTGCAAAAGCTCACCATGTGAGCTAATAAGCAAATTATCAATAAAAATTGAAAATCGATTGCATCAACGGAGACATTATTGCGATTTTTTCTCACCAGGTGGCAGCAGTGATGCCGATATTTCAGGGGGTTTAGGTACTGGTATGCTGGTCCCAGGGAGAAGTTGACTAGCGGGACGTAGCAGATCTGGGGCTGGTTTCCCATCCCCTTTAGTAGGTCCATCACCTTGCTTCTGTTGATGGTTGTAGATCTCCCATGCTATCCGTACATGGACAGCGCACCATTTGCCTTTCTGCAATATAACAGAGAAAAAAGAAAGTGTGAGGTTTTTGAATCTTGTATTTAAATATGACACACAATTAATTAAAACCTCTATTATTTCAGTGAAATCAATGCAGGAATATGATTTTGAATACTGCCAATAGGGGGCGGGGTGCATCTATTGACCTCGTTCTAGCTTTTGTGTATCATATATCAAAAATATCTTTTCTTTTGATGTATTTTTGTAAAACCTTTCTGGTAAAAAGGCACAAGAGACTAATCTAGCAGCATTAAGTGCTTGATGGCTAGAAAGAGCTCCACCAAATCCCTTACATCTTTGGCCCAATTCTCTGCTACAGTATCAATTTCCTTATGGCATAGCAGACAATGTTTAGAGAGTGCAAGACAACATAGGGGGCTTGTAATATAGACAATACAATGACTAACTGACAGATCACGAAAATTGAGAGTATGTTACATACCTTAGGAGGGGGTGGCAATGAGGGGTTGGCCGCCAGGGCCGCTGCCTTCTCTCTCTCATGTATTGAGGCTAACAACTGGGAGTGTTGGAGGTTGCCTGGAGCATTCTGAAATTACCATAGAAACAACTGTTAGAGTATATTCAAAATCTACATTTGGTCTTTGGTAGCTGTATCTGAAGTTACCCAAGGTAAAGTACAGGATTCTCAACAAAAAATTAGTTTATCCAATTCATAGATTTCATATATATAAATATGTAAGCCTACATGTGCATATGACATCAGTATGTAAGCCTACATGTGCATATCACATCAGTATGTAAGCCTACATGTGCATATCACATCATGATCAGTTTATAAGCTTAGATGTGCATATGACATCAGTATACAAGTCAGCATGTTTACAGGACATCAGTTTACAAGCCGATATGTGGTCTTGCCGAATAAATCAGCCAAATTCCTCATTTTACTTGACCTGTAATACCTGTATAATAGTAAAGAGCTGGGGAGGGCTGTGCACAGACTTACCTTAGGTGTGAAAGCGCCGTGTATACCTGAGCCTAGGGGGGTAGGGGTGGAGCCTGGTGGGGGAAGCATTGACAGACCTGGGGGGTAACTCCCAAACTGCAACTGTCAGGAAAATAAAAACACCATGAGGGATTATGTCAAAATGTCACCAAGCAAGCATAAGCCTCAATACCTCATACCAGGAGAATATACCTAGTATCTTAAACATATTAAATATGTGCAAATAATGCCAAATATTCAGTTTACTAGAAGTATATAAGAAGTACATGTACATCACTAGACCAATATTTGGTATGAAGATTCCAAAATCTATTGTTGTAACCATGGAATTGAAGAAATCATGATGTTTTATAATAAATCTTATTATAAGGGATTTTATAACTAAATCCCACTAGAGGTGAATGCACATACTGGGTGGCCCAAAAGCAGGTTAATAGTTATTCAACAATCTCAACCTGTAAACTAATTTTTCGGCCACCCTGTATATGCACCCCTGCAGGTTGGGGGACTGCAATAACTTGATGGTTTAATGTAAATGTCAGACTTACCCCTGGTCTGTAGAATGGAGACTCCATTTTTGGCATCTTATCAAACTGTAAGAAAATAAACATATACATGCATTACATTGTTTCATAGGTTTATATAAGACGGACAATTAACACATAGTCTTAGTCATGACGATAAACGTGATTTCTTATTATATGTCATTTTGCTCATAGGCAACAATGTAAATAAACATGAATGACTGAAATGTAATCATGGAAATAGAGTGGGCATTTGAGATTCATATATTTTCTATATTTTGTATATAATGCATCTGCTAAGTTATCATACTAAACTCTAATCCAAGGATTCAAGTATTGATAGTAGTAGAAACATCTAAAGTGTGAAAACACCTTAATTAGGTTTTGAGCATGGGATCCTATATTTGTTTGTGTATATTAAGTCGATGAATGGTATTCTAAAAACTCAGTTTTGAAATGGACATGTGAGTATAAATGACACTCAGATATTTTATTCTGTTAATATTCTCTATTCTCTCTATCATATCTTCAGGATGCTCTATCTTAAATGTCAAATTTGTGGCCATAGATTTTTCAGTCCATGCATAACAAGCATACACATGCAAAATTTGAAACATTATTTCCAGTCCATGAAGAAATATGACTTTGATATTTTTTATAAATATTTGTCAACCACTTTAAAAACAAAATAACAATAAAAACATTCTATAATTTTGTTAGGACAACACAAAACAACAAACATAAAATAAAAAATAAGAACGCAACACCATAAAAGTAGTTCCTTGAGAAAATAGTTCTGTTAGTGTAGACATACCAGTGATAGACTGGAGTGAGCAGGCAAAGGGAGACCTGCATTGGCGTAGGCTCCATATAACTGTTGCTGTTGTGCCCAAACTGAAATCACAATACACATTTAACCCTGGTGCTTCTAAGGGGTCTTCACAGCCCACCATATATGGTATTTCAACAAACACCATATAAGGATGTCTCACAAATTGGGTAGGAGGTTACATATAAAGGAACACTTGAAATACAATTGCGAGATTTCATGACGTCCCTCAGCCCTACAAAAGATGAAGACCCCATAGAATGAGTGTGGATAATTTAGAGGTTGCTCTGAAGGGCGAGATCACGTAGAATGAAGGGCCAGGGTTATATATGTGCATGTGCTTTCAACCAATCAAAGCTTTTCATTTCATGAAATAATGGCGATCATGATAACTTGACCACCATAAAATACGAAAGTTGATAATTGCTAACCTTAACTCATTAGTTGAGCTGATAAAACCAAACAGATTTTGAATCATTAATTTGTTTGGTTTCTAAAAGCAAATAAAAGCAGGCATATGGAAATTTGATTTTCATGAAATTAATTTTTAGCGATGGGAAAGCTATTTTCCCAAACAAAGGTCACTCACACAAGTTTGAGTTTAAGCTGAAATGATGTCAAAATTTCAAATCCATATTGTGCTAAATGCACAATGGTGTGGAAAGGAAAAATACAAAATATGGTGCTTAATAATCCACAATAGTGTGCTTAAATCCACAATATTGTGCTTATATGCACCATATGATGTGTGTTAGATCTAAAATTCTAAAGCTACAATGACATTAAGGTTAGCATGGTTACTAAGAAGCTGACCAAAAACAAAGGAGGATATTAGTCCCATAATACCCTCTCTCATGGAACATTATCTCTATTGAGTGTACAGGGACAAGCACCTCTTTAATATTCACTTCTCTATCAATCTGAATACTTTTTTTTATTCTGCCATAGACTGGTATTTTAAAGAATCTCCCATTGTGAACACATGGCAATCTAAACAATTTTGTCCCAGGGATGTTTGGATTATACTACAGGTTTTTTTGAAATTACATAAATTCATTTTTGTCTCAAATGTTCCAAGATTTGTGAGGCTATTTAGGTTTCCTATCCTCTATAAATGTATAAGGGTGATCGAGTATATTGGTCAGATTCTGGTTACCATGGAAACATGCACATTGTCCCCTTTCCCTGACGACAGACAGTAAAGCTTGTTCAAGCACCATTTACATCTCATCAAGCATTATTAATTCAATTTTGAGTAGAGAGTATTTCTGAATGATGAGTTGTCAATGAATAATGCGGTGACCTTGACCTTCAGCAGATCAGGTTGTGAGCTCATGCACATTGTTGCTGAACCTACCATGGGGGTAGCACCCAGAGGGGTGGCCACAGCTGGGGGGAGGCCAATAGCCCCAGGGGCACCAGGAGGGGCGAGGGGATTATATGTATGGTTATGGTTATGATTATGCGTATGTTGGTGTTGATGCATATGCTGATGCATCTCTGTATGCTGGTAGTATGGTGACGTTCCACCAGGTGGCCGTGGGAACCTCTCCTGGGCGGATGCTAAAAATCTGTTATCCAGCTCTCGTCGTAAAAGATCACGATCTATAGAGGAAACATATACAGATATGCAATGCATCATGACACATACATAAATTAACAAAAATATGTCACTGTCTAAAATTGCAGGACTCTTGCATCAAACCCCTGGTCCAACATGATGTATGTATAAGAGAATAATGAGGAAGTACAGGGGCTTGATGCAAGACTTCTTATTTCTCATTTCAAGGTTTATATCATGAAATAAGAAAATGTGTGAATTCATGAACAGTTGTGGTCACGGTGACATTCCCTTGTATGGGAAAACTGCTCTAATGAATTCATCAATTATTTATGTATTCCAAATGTCGATTACAACATCATGTAATTGTACATCAGTGAATTTTCAATTAATGTTTCATGTATTTAGTATTTACAAATGAGATAGAAATCATAGTATGCAATATGATGCCCTTTGGACATTTGCTCCTTTTGCATTTCTTTCTGTCATACAAAGTATTACACTATCAATTTACTATAGCTAACATTGAGCAAGTTTGTTCTTGACCTTGAATTGATAATTTAATTATGTCTGACAGCCCAGAGAACTAAAGCTTTAACTGAGTTGTTCTATCATTAACATAAGGTAAAGGTATTTTTCTCAAAGCTGTTTTAAAGACTGTAATTTACATTGAAGTTTCATTTGATTAGTATACTTACTTGCATGAAGTGCTTGGTCGGCGGCACCTGCCCCATAAGGTCCTGGTAGACCTGAGGGTGGGGGTAGGGCAGTGGAGGTAAGAGGGGGTGGGGGTGGTAGGGGCGGGGCAAACATATTAGGCGCAGATGTGTGAGCTGGGTGTGGCAGGTGATGGCTGATTGATGGAAGGGGTGTAACTGTAGAATGGGGAGGAGCTAATACACCAGGATGATGTGGCAAGTGGCCTGGGGTTAAATGCCCAGGGGTATGGTGCCCCGGGGTGTGATGCCCCGGGGTAAGACGACCTGGGGTATGCCCTGGGGTGATATGTCCAGGGGTATGATGCCCTGGGGTATGAGAAGGGGTATAGTGATTGGTTGCACTGTGCCCCGGAGTGTGGCTGGGAGTATGCCCAGGGGTATGGCTAGGAGTATGAGGGTACTGGCCTGGGAGACCACTTGAACTGTTGTGGAGAGGGGTAATGCTCCGACTACTTGGTGGTAATAGAGGATGACTTGGGCCTGGAGATCTGTGTCGCTGAACAGCGTGGTGTTGTGTGTAATGTGACGTCTGATGTGACGGCTGGTGTGACGATGGGTGTGACGAAGGGTGTGACACAGGATGTGTCCTGCTGTAACTACTGCTTAGTGCATTGTTGGCACAATATGTGGAGCTGATAGTGGTCGTTAAAGATGGAGCCACTCCAGTTGATAATGCTGTAGAACTGGAAGATAAGAATACAATAAAGATACAAATCAAAATAGATAAATTGAAATGCCTGCCAAGTACATACATTCATGTAAATGCAAGGGTTACTTACAAGTTATGATTATTCTGCCCCAACAACATTTAAGTTGAGAGTTACACAGGTTAATAAGTTACATTTAATTGTTAACATTAATTTCTGACTTGAAAGTCACAAAATGTTCAGGTTTAGATTTGTGGAAGGAGGGTATTAAGTAAAAGACGTAAAAGCTAAATAATCTTTATGGAAAACCATAAGCTGGAGTTTCAATGTGATTGTGATGTAACAGTCAGCTGACTAATAGACGAACCTTGCATGGGACCATGGGGGTCCATTTGAGTAAACTTTTTCTTTTTCTCGTTCTGGGCCTTTATCTGGTGGCCTATGCGCAGGAAGTAATGGTGGCTTTGGAGGTTCCCGCGTTGGAGGAGGTTCAGAGGGGGACTGTACACTTGGTGGAATAGCCACCCCAGTTTTTATATGATTATGTTTTGTTGTATTGTTGCTATGGTTACTGCTATTGCTGTTTGTATTCTCCCGTTTTATATGAGAATGGGGAGAGTAGAGATCATGAGAGCTGGCATCTGATGCCTGAAAATACACAGAATAATACCATAAATGCATAGAATGACACCATGAATAAATATATAGGGAATAATCCAAACATAACATAGAATGGCACCATAAATACACAGAATGAAAAAAACTATATAATACCATTAATGCATAGAATGGCACCATAAACATACAGAATTATACAATAGATATATAGAACAATACAATATATAAAAATATAAGAGTACCAGCAACATACAGAATGGTACCATAAGTAGACCATAGTTCCATAAATATCAAATAATTCAGAAAATAATTATGAAAAACACATAGATATGACAATAAACATAACAAATGGTACCATAAACCTAACAATGGTTCTATAGCAGTTTCTAACCCAAGAGTACCACAAAGTGAACGATATTTAAACTCCCATCAGTAATACTCTTATAGCTTCTAGCCTTTGCCAAACGTGTTTAACTGACATCCACTATTATTTCTGCGACATAAAGCACATATTGACACAGTATTTAATGATGATGTCAGAGATCATGTGCTTCTAGTGTGAGTTACACTGGGGATCCATAGAGACGTGAATGCACCATTCTGTTCAGTTGACCTCAAGGTTACATGTCCCCAGGCGCCCATGTTTGATTTCACATCGGGTGTGAAAGAACATGTCGTAAAATTGAGTCATATTCAAAGTGTTATACAACTGAACATATGTAGTAATAATAATAATGAACACAGATTTTTGAATATTGTATTAAGCACTTATATCCCCTCATCCCCCATTTTGAAATTATTTATTAAGCACTTATATCCCTTCATCCCCCATTTTGAAATTATTTATTAAGCACTTATATCCCCTCATCCCCCACTTTGAAATGATTTATTAAGCACTTATATCCCCTCATCCCCCATTTTTAAATGATTTATTAAGCACTTATATCCCCTCATCCCCCATTTTGAAATGATTTCATGAGTAGTACATAGATCATTAAAATAGATCTACATTGTAATAGATCATTAAAGAGATGCAGTTATAGACAAAGATGTATGAAACAAATATCTCAAGCATAATTACTGTATATGACTCAAGTACATCCATTCAAGAAGTTTGAAACAGCTTTTCAGGATTGATTGTAAAACATATTGCAGAGATACTAAACATGACTTCAATTAAACAAACAAGCAGTAATAGTCTGGTATATATCAATCAATTTGTCTCAAGGTCCAATGTTAATTAAATCATTTGTTTTTGTCTGATTCTTATATATTTTCTTGCCATCTATTTCACATTTTTGTGGAATAAGTGGATGGGGAGGGGGACTGGTTGGGCATAATGGATCGACCATGGTCCTAGAAACAAGTTCAACCTTATTAATTTCAGACAGTGTTTGAAACAGTGTTTTTTCCTTCCATATAAATCGTTACTTAAATAAGACATTACACATATTTGTAATCTACTTTCCCATATTACAAGTAGACAATACTACACATGTACATGTATATGTATTATATGTATTATCTTATCTTCAGACTCTAACCTACTTGAACCTAAGATTTGAATATGACTTAAGGTCTTATATAAGATGATACCTGACAATACTTCAATTGATAACGCAATATATGAATAACAGTATTCTTAGGTAACAAGTAATTCACACTTTAAGGGCCAATTGCTATATATAATTCTCATCAACTTTCCTCTCTGAAAATATCAAAGCTTCAAGAGAATTCTTTTTTCTAGTAAGCCATATGACAAATTAAAACTTGAAAGAATTACAACTTTTTCAATTTCAAAAGGCAATTAACTTAACTTGAATATTTAGCAGAATAACAACCAATCAATTTGAAATTAAAGCAAAAATCAAACTGACCAGTTTACGTAACATATTAGCAAATCCAGGAAAATCAGCATCGGGTTTTGATGACATGGTTTTGTCAATAGCCTCCATTTCACTTCTGCGTCTTGATTCACTACATGATGTGCCGAGGATAAATTAATCCAAAATGTTATAAGAATAGAATAATAAACGACAACAGCAATTCATTAAAGAACAGATGTTTCCTCTAAAGATGAACTTCATCAAACAATAATAGGCTAGCACTTTTAAGAATCACTTCATATATCATTCCGAAATGTTAACATTTTAGAGGCTCCTAATTCTAAACTTATTTTTCAAATAATTTCTCTTTGCATATATTAATCCAGTTTTTGTCGATCTCAATTTATCGTTACATTTCCTCATATGATTGTGTCTAATAGGGCCTATATTTTTGTAATGATCCTGTTATATTGTCATATTAGGTGTAGTTTTGCTTGTCATGTAACGGTAGTGAATAATTATCCTGTCAATATGCTGATCAGAACAGTTTGCTTTTCTCGTATTATCTTGTCTAGTTATCTTAAAAACCTATTTGAAAATGAGGTTGTAATGTTTAACCCTTTCAATAAAATGTAGTTATGATCATGATTTCTTTGCAAAATAACAAGAACAAATAAGGTAAAAGCGAGAAATGGATAACACTTGTGAAACAATTATGATCTATATTATATTGATATAACTGAAAATGAGTATTCGTTCAGATTAAAGAGAGAAAATGAGCGAAATTAGAGTAAAGATTGAAATTTTATTAATAGACATACTATTATTCATCTAACCCAGTGTTACACAGGGTCATTATAACTTTGAAACTAATTTTTTCACCTCTAATTACTGGAGGCCAGATACTATTAAAGTCATAAATGTACTATCACTATTGAAGCTTTCAACACTCAGTCCCTGCAATCGATTTATTGTTCTCTTTATTTTTCAAGGCTAAGTTAGTATCTCTGGGCATTGCTTGTTTATTATTATATTATTAACACATATATTTTCTCTCCCAGATATGATTAAAACATACTGAGTTCTTTTGTTGTATGTTTTCTTTAATAAAATGTAGCTTAGAGATGTATTCTTTATACATGTATCTATCTATCTCACCACCCACATCACCTATTAAGCAGGAAGTCCATGTTTTCAAGGAAGTCTGTGATAACACTGAAGGTGAACATCTCAACTTGAGATATATTCTCAATACAATAAGTGAAAAGGCCTGCAACAAAAATGATATTTTCCAAGAACAAAAGAGCCTAAAGATAGCCTATATGAAAAAAGAATAATATACCTTATAAGGACATTCTGACTCTTAATAGTAGCATTGTAGCACTCCTCATAAATGTTGGTCAACATTTTCAACCATTTATTTGAGAAAAATGTGGCCAAGATATGCATCATTTTTTGAATCTGTGCAGAAGACTGTGCATCATCAAATACCAACTACCTACGAGGTAACATTTAGGCGTAATTTGGTATAATGGGTTCATGGAGGTGAAACGTTTATATAGAGAGCAGATGTTGCTTGGCCTCATTAGGAGGTCATATGCTCATGATCTTTACTCTGGCCTAGATCGGTTAGCATCACAATGAACATTAAAGAGTTCTTCTTCAAATAAAACACCCTTTTAAGCCAATAAAAAAATTAGTTGAAAAACTGATTTATAAAAAGCATTCATTTTGAGATACACATATGGCATTACATATTTGAACTTTGCACATATGACAAAAATTTAATTGTTCTGTTCATGACGCAACAAAAATGACGTTTAATGATATAATTGTACAATTACTGGTTATGAAGATACAAAAACCTATATATTATGTATGTTCTTACTTAATAATATGTTATTATATAAAATCATTTTAATTTAGGGATGGGGTATTGATCTTTTGACCATCTAGTGAACGGTCTCATTCAAACATTAATTTGGGTAATTAGCGGAGAAATAAGACAAAAAAACGTTAAAAATGTTAAAGCATAGAAGTCAGTTGCAGAGATGTTATGTTTGCAAAATGTTAGATTAGATTTTTACCATATTTTATATTTCATATCTAATTTGTTTATTCTTATATCGCCACCCACAGCCTTAGGCCCTGACATTACACATGTTTCAACTTTGAACTTTTACAAAATTTTAATTATTCTGTTCATGACGCAACAAAAATGACATTTAATGATATAATTGTACAATTACTGGTTATGAAGATACAAAAACCTATATATTATGTATGTTTTTACTTAATAATATGATATTACATAAAATCAATTTAATTTAGGGATGGGATATTGAAGTATTGAAGTCAGTACAGAAACAGTACAGAAATCAGGGATTTCATTACACATTACATTGTAGAAAAAGCATGACCCATGCCCATTTCAAACCACTGTACCCCCCCCCCCCCATCTACACATCACATGGAGTGAGGGTGGTATGGGTCTAGACAGGGGGAGGGGTGTCCAAAGGCTTCATGTAAGACAAGATCAGACGGTGGTTTTATCACAGGTAATCAATCTATATTAATTGATCTTTTATAACTTATGATGTTATTCAGATAATAATCCTAGATAATCCACTATAATATAAAGGATTACATCTCCTCTTCTGAACTAATAAAAATTTATCTTATACTCAGTGTAATATAAGTTTTTACCTTGAGAGGTTAAATGTATCTATAAGATCTCAAAACTTCCAAGTTGATTTTTATTTTTCAAAAGTAGAATCCATGAATAAGTTCTAGGTGTTATCTATCTACATTAACCTCATATCCCCCTGTATTTCAGATTAGACAACCATACTGATTATGTGAGCTAATCTTCAGTTTACATTATACTAATATCCACAGTGTAGATACTACCTACTTTTGCTAAGTTTACAAGATTACACCAATGCTAGTCAATCTGGTACACTTTACTTATCATTCCAAGTAGTCTAACAACAAGCCCTTGGGAGCCCCCCTCAACTTCACTGAAGTGAAGTAGAAGGGGGGGGGGGGTCTACAGTCTTGAAGCAAGACTATTCAAGAGGCTTTTTTCCACATACAGTTAAGCCTGACTTGTTAATGATCCTGTACACTGTAATGAACACCTATTTTTCCATATACAGTTAAGCCTGACTTGTTAATGATCCTGTATACTGTAATGAACACCTA